GGGAAAGAGGCAATCGTGGACGATCTCCACAGAATGATTTCATGTGTATCAAGTTCAAAGGCGGCATAACTGGACTGTGTTGTTTAGGGGCACATACAGAGGCGGTGAGTGCAATGGAGAGGAAAGAAATGAGGGTCATAAATATCAAGGCAGTGGTTGTCCGTCGGGTAGGAGGTGAGGGGCTGAGGTGGGTGAGGATCACCCAGGGGGCTCCTGGGGTCCTGGCAATATTCTGTTCCTTGATATGAGTGCTTTATGATCATTCTTTTAAATCCACATGGATGATCGGAGTGCTTTTTTGCATGTAAGCTATACTTGGCAATTTATAAACATGCAGTGGGCACAGTAGCCCATGAGCACATGAAAATATGCTCAACATCATTAGCTCCAGGGAAATGCACATCAGCACCACAGTGAGACACCAGTTCACACCCACTGGGATGGCTACAAGAGGAAATACAGGTAGAAAGCGAGGATGCGGAGTAAAGGGAACGAACCCTCAAACACTGCTGGTCGGAATGTGAAATGGTGCAGCCCCTGTGGCAATGGCCCGGCAGTTCCTCAAAGTGTTAAACATACAGTTACCAAATGACCCAGGATTATGGTCGCAATGTCTGGGTCTCGCCCTCCCCACCCCTCAACTCATACGTCGAAATCCTAACCCCCAAAGTGATGGTATTTGGTGGGGCCTTAGGGAGGTTCTTAAATCACGAGGGTGAAGCCCTCATGAATGGGATTAGCGCCTCATAAAAGAGGCTCCAGAGAGACCCCAGCCCCTTCCAACTCGTGAGGACCCAGTGAGAAGGCCCCAGTTATGAGCCAGGAAGTGGGTCCTCATCAGGACTCAACCCTCGTCTCGGGCTCCCAGCCTCCAGAACTGGGAGAAATCAATTTCTGTTGTTTCTCTGCCGCCCAGTCTGGGGCATTTTGTTGTAGCCACTCAGGCACACTAAGACACCCGGCAGTTCCACTCCTGGGCACATACCCAGGGGAAATGAAAACACACATCCACATAAAAAACTGATAAAACAAAGTTTATAGCAGCATTCTTTAAAATAGCCCCAAAGTGGAAACAACCCATATGACCACTGATGAACAGATAAATGAACCCAACTGGTGAATAGGTAAATGAAGTCCACCCATTCAGCAGAATATTATTCAGCCATCAAAAGGGATGAAGTGCCAACACCTGCCACACCATGGATGGACCTTGAAAACACGATGCTCAGTGAAAGAAGCCAGACGCACAAGACCACGTACTGCATAACTGCATTTGTAGGCAGTGTCCAGAAGAGGCAAATCTCTGGAGACAGAAGGTAGACTAGTGGGCTGGGAGGAGGCTGGAGAAGTGGGGAGAGACGGCTGAAGAGGGTGTAGGTCTCTTTTTGAGGTAAATTGATTGTGGTGATGGTTGAGCATATCTGTGAATATATCAGTGTTGACCTGTACACTCCGAGTGAGGGCGTGGTGCAGTACATGAATTAGACTAATTAAGTTGGCTTTTTAAGAAAAAGTCCCTGGTAGGATGTCGTGAAGCAGCATTGGGTTGTAGTCGTGCATCTGTGACACTGAATGTGTCCTCGGTGGTGGCCCCTGAGCAACGAGCCCCAGAGCCAGGGCCAGGCGCCCGGGCTGGGCAGGCAGCTGCCTTCCTCCTCTTCTGTGGCCACCGTGACCTGAGGCCGTGGCGGCATTTGTGTGGGCCCCTAATCAGATGACACGCAGCCCCTTCATGCTGCAAACGCTGCATTTTGAGAGCCTCGGTGATCGCATTATGTCTGCCCTAAGCTGGGCATAATCACAGCCGCCCTGGCCAGGGCTGGTCACCCAGATGGGCACCGAGCCCCTTGCCCAAAGCAGGGGACAACAGCAGAGGAAGTGTGTGGGACCAAGCCACGCTGTGCTCCCACCGTGAGGTCAGGCTGGCTCCCAGCTTCCAAGCTGCCCAGGGGGACTTCCGGGGCGCCCCCCCTTACACTTGAAGAGCTTGGGACATGAGGAGCACCAACTGTGTGCCGGCACCGTGCAAGGACTGGGGTCTCGGTAAAGTTAAGGCCACGAAGCTGCCGCCCTTGTAAAGAAGACATGCTGCGGGGAGAGGGGAGCAGGCACCCACTTCAGATAACAGAGTAAGTGAGACGGAGAAGGCGGAAGAGGGTCGGGGCTGGAGAGCGCGGGAGGAGGCAGGGGCGGCTACGTGACACGGCAGGGGGACAC